GAATAGAAGTGATTCTTCCTTTCTTTGTGACATGTCATTATTATGCATAAACATTCTTAGTTAAACAACAAATGAATCACGAACAGAAAAGATTGTTTCTGTTCATTATCTAATTAAGAGAACTGAAGTTCTCTTCTAGGTTGAAATGACCTGTCATGGCCTAAAATAGAGTTCAGTGTTCCTGCCTTCTGTCAGGTCTGTCCGAGACATGGTTTGAGGCAGTAACTCTTGTTTCTTCACTCGAGGTGACCCCTACATTTTTATATTTAATCTCAATAGTTCAGTGTTTACAATACTAATATGATTGTATTTTGATGTTTTTCTATATCATTATCTTAATATTGCTCTGTTGTTGTAATATTATGCAGTTTAGTGTCAATAATTGTATTGGCAATGTGGCCTCCTTCTGCACACATACAAACCAAGCCCTGCCACCACCTTCTGTCACAGCTCCAACAGTCTAATGTCTATGTCATGGACTATCATGTGGGAGATCAGGATTCAAAACCCAGCTAATGCAACTTTAACAAAAAATCTCCTCCAACTTCATATTGTGACACAATTACCTTAATTACAAACACCTTCTGACGTGACAGGCCCAAGCTGGTRTAGAAAACACATTTGAACTTGGTTAAAGTTCATTCTGCAAGTCCAGTGCTGCAGGCATAGCCATGCTGCAATGACATGCTACATGGCAATGCACACTTGTTTTTACATTGTAAAAACCCATGTCTAATTCTGCTTATTATTCCGCCTTCTTCCATGTCGCCATGCTACTACTCCTGCATACTTTGTCCTACAGCTACCATTGTAATTTCTATCTGTAAAGGTCCTGTGCCAAATAATTGCATTGCCTTCTRGTGCCTGTACAACTTGTGGTTTTTGAAATATTAATGTTTAAACTTTATTCCAAAATTCATATAATGGGAATCAATGTGGCCTTGTAATGGTCCAATACTGCCCCATGCTGGACTCAACTTGGTACAGCTCCATACTTTAATAATATTTCATCTCAATTGTTCAGTGTTTACAATACTAATATAATTGTATTTTGATGTTTTACTATAATATTGTCTTAATACTACTCTATTGTTGTAATATATTGCACTTAAGTGTCAATAATTGTATTGGCAAGGTAAACATTTTCTGTATGCATACAATCCAATCCCTGGGATTGTCCTCTGCCACATCTCATATAGTCTCATGATGAGCACTGTGGGCTTTCATGTGGGAGATCAGGGTTCAAATCCAGCTACTGCTACTTTAACAAAAATCTCTGCAAACTTCATATTGTCACACAATTACCTTAATTACAAACACCTGCTGACGTGACAGGTACAAGCTGGTATAGAAAACACATTTGAACTTGGTCAAAGTTCATTCTTAAAGTCCAATGCTCCTGCATACATTGTCCTACTGCTGCCATAATTTCTATCTGTAAAGGTCCTGTGCCAAATGATTGCTTTGCCTTTTGCTGCCTGAACCACTTGTAGTTTTTAAAATATTAATGTTTAAACTTAATTCCAAATTCATAAAATGGGAGTAAATGGGGCCTTGTAATGGTCCAATACTGCCCCCAGCTGTACTCAACTTGGTACTGCAGCATAGTTTTTTAAAATTTTAATCTCAATATTTCAGTGTTTACAATACTAATGTGATTGTACTTTCATGTTTTACTATAAATTTGTTTTAATACTGCTCTATTGTTGTCATATTATGCAGTTTAGTGTCAATAATTGTATTGACAATGTGGCCTCTTTCTACACACACAAACCAACCCTTTCCACCACCATCTGCCACAACTCCATTGGTTTAATGGTCTATGTCATGGACTTTCATGTGGGAGATCAGGGTTCAAACGCCGGCTAATGCAACGTTAGGAAAAAATCTCTTCAAACTTCATATTGTCACACAATTACCTTAATTCTAAACACCTGCTGATGTGACAGGCTCAAGCTGGTATAGAAAACACATTTGAACTTGGTCAAAGTTCATTCTGCAAGTCCAATGCTGCAGGCAAAGCCATGCTGCATGACATGCTACGTGGCAATGCACACTTGTTTTTACATCATAAAAACCCATGTCTAGTTATTATTATTATTTATGACAGATAAAACATAATTAAAATACTTTTTTAAATTCATAGTTAAGTAAAAAAATTTTCAACTAGCTAAAAAGTCCAAGTTCATAGTTGGTTTACATAATTGTTACTAATATATTTTTATTGTATCGTGCTGTTTTACATGATTGTTGAAGGAAATGAAATGAACATTATAATAATTAATTGAAAAATATTACAAAAAAATCTGTGACACAGATCTTTTTAAATAGTTGCTATGAGGGCTGTGAGCTGTCGTTATTTTTGCTCTTCCATGTTGTCACAGATGCTAACAGTGGGCGGGATAGGCGGGGCTCAGTCTAAGGACATTCAAGTCTATCAATACAATTAAATTTTGCCCCATCTGCTGGCTAACCTTCATAATTTGGTAATAATGATAATATTAAAATCCATDTTTGATCTATGTTCCACACCCATCACAACAACTAAACCACATATTGACACTTCTGTCTCTGACTGAGTTTTCTTCTACATATTGATGCAAAACTACAGAACAGAGAACTGCTTAATTGCAAAATTGATACTTCTGCTTCATGTGCTGGAAACATCACTAGTTGTCTTCCCTCACCAACACACAAACACACATTTTGATGTTAGTTTGTTCAAGTTTATTTTATCTTCACCTTTTTTTTTAACTTCCACACAGGTTTCTCACACACGACCAGAAGAGATTGCTTTCAAGATTCATCAAAAGTTAAAAGTGGGCGTCTTACAGCCAGCAACTGTATCTGTCTATGAGTATTATGAAAGTAAGTTTAAGAATTAAAAAATTATACTTTGTTGGATTTTTTGTTTCAGTTTCTGTACGTTTTTTTTGTAAATGTGTTTAAAATAAAAATTAACTGAATGTATTTTTTACATCAACTGTATTTGTTTTAATGTGTTATAAAAGGTAGCAACTATTCATTTTATTGATTGATTGATTTTCTTTTCATTTCAGAAACACCTTGCGTAAAATTCTACCACCCAGAGAGAAGGGCTGGGCACTTGCTGCGGCTCTGTAGAGGTGAAGAATGCACATGTGCAGAAGGTAAACAAGATTAGTAATAAAGTCGTAGACTTGATAATGGAATGAGATTTCCTGCAAACACAACAAATTACATGTAAACTTCGCTGGGCACATTAATTTTATAGCAGCAGTGGAATGTGTTGACAAAGAAACAGGATGAGAAAAGACGAAAAGTTATTTATGCTGATTAGACAGCTAATTGAAAATGGAATAGGTTTTGTATTTCTACCTTTGTAGGGGCCCTATGCAAAATGCTGTTTGAAGGCCCCTCATTTACCAAACTATAAATAAAATGGCATCACTTGAAATTAGGTTTAGTGTAGTTTAAAACACAAGATAGTCACATTACATCACATCAAACTGGCATTGCTCATATGACAATATGAAAACAAATGTCTAAAATAAAGAACATAATAACAGGATAACTGCAAATCACAGTTAAGCAAAACAAAGTGGAGGAGGATCCTAAATTGGTGAACAGAGATGATACTAAAAATGATGAAGTGAGGGCACTC